AAAAAAAAAAAAAAAAAGGAAAAAAAGAAAAGAAAGGTTGTATCGATTTGAATTGAAATTAAAAACAGCAGTGTGGATACTTATTTAATTACTTTTTTTTTTTTCAATGGAAGAATCACAATTTTTCATCCCGTTCCAATTGATCGAACGAGCTCGATCGAATTATCTCGATACGATTCTTCGAGAGGGAAGTTCGTTACAATCGTACAGATTGCAAATTTTATCAACGACAAAAAATAATCGGCGAAGAATGCGACCAAGAGGGTGTATACAAGCGTGTAAAAGTATAAAAAGTGTAGGCAAAACTCGATACTATACAGTAATAAATTGTTTTAATCTTTTCGAGCTGCTACAGAGACTTTCCACCGAGCGATGATCGTGTTAACCTCGGGTAATTGAACCCCTTCCTTCTCCTAGCCCCCATCCTTTCGCGTCTACTTTCTCGGATATCGTGTGTTTAGCTACCTTGCCTCGTCCCGCCTGTCGTCCCCGGGATAATCATCGTGGGAACGGGCCGCAAACTCGTTAATACGACGGAAGAACACGATTATTATTACAGTAGACAAAGGGACACGTCCATTGAAAAACGAGAATCGACGAGAACAGCGCCGGCTGAGTATTTAGGGAAGATTGGCCGAGTTCTTGGAAACTCGATGAAAACGTAATGAACGGACGAGGGAGAGAGAGAGAGAGAGGTCTGTGCTATTTTAAACGAGGAGATCGAGCCACGATTCTTTGTAGGGGCAACAGAATCGTGGAAAAGCCACAACAGGTGGAATCGAAAAAGTCGTTTTCAATCGAAATATTTCCTCCCCCTAATTTTTAACACATAGAACTTTGTAATTTTCGCAAGATTCCCTTAATTAATAATTGTCGAGAATTTTCTTCTCGAAATTTTACGCAATTTTTTTGATCAAAATCCTTCGACGATCCTTGTCTCCTTTTAATACGAAATCTCTTTTAGACCGCTGTACTTCATTACTAGGTACTCTCATTAATATTTTAATAATACGATTCATTGGTTGCAAGAATAATCTGCATCCGCATTATTTGTTTCCATTACATTGAGATTTTCGCTTGTCACGAACAGTTTGAATCTTTGTCGAGTAAGAATATAATTTCTGTTAAAATTTCTGCTCTAATTCGTTCCAATGTCGAAAAGAAAAATGGAAGAATCGTGTCTCAGCGAGTCATATAGCAGTCATATAGCGGACAACAACTTTTGGTCCAAATTATCTTGACCAATCACATCTTTATACAGAATGCTTTGAAGCATTAAATAAACTATTTTTGTATTATTTTCACAATTCCATAGTTTTATTACACCCTGTGGAATATCTTTCCACAAATACCTACGAACCACGATTGAGAACTTTTACTGTAATTCGTTCCAATGAAAAGAAAAATGGAAGAATTGTATCTCAGCGAGTCATATAGCAGTCATATAACAACTTTTCGCCCAAATTCTCCTGACTAACTTTGTACAGAATGCTTTAAATAAACCATTTTTGTATTACTTTCACAACAATTCCATAGTTTTATTATACTCTGTGGAATCTTTCCACAAATACCTACGAATCACGGCACGTTGTCGAATATCGGTGACATGGCGGTTAAGCTGATATCCCAATACAAATTTCAAGGAACAAAAAAGGAAAAAAATACACGAAATACTCACGATCTTGTGATGAAGATGTTGAAGCTCCCTCTCGGTGACCCGCCTCCGTGACAATTCGCGCTGCTCCCTCCTGTACTGGCTGTACTTGTAGAAAAGATACATGCCAGGAAGGGCGAGGACAACCAGGGGTTTCATAAGGCTGGCCCTTCCGCTCCCACCTCGGACACGAGGCTCTGGAGGCTCGTCAAGGTCCTCCAGTTGGCCGGCACCCTCGGCTGGCACGACCGGCATGATTAATTACCTTCCAACGGAAAATCGATATTAACGTGAGAAAATGAATTCAATCGCTGCGAATATATTTTCTCTTTCTTTAATCCGGACGTCCGTGCGCGTTTTCCCTTTTTTCTTTCTTTTTTTTGTTTGCGCGAAGACGTCCAAGGGGAAATCGTTTCGCTTCCCGCATTTAATTAATGACACCGAGATCCAATTATTGGCGCGGCCTGTTAAACAATACCCTGTAACGGCGCATTGTTCTTCATTCAGGATATCGAAACGACGCGGCCACCACCACTACTCCAATTGGCCGGAATGCACTTTAACGGAGAGACGACGAACCCTCCCCCCACCGGTGTGCCTCGCGAATGGATCATTTGTTCGGGACGGTTAATTAGTTCCCCTCTCTAGTTGCGAAACTCTCGTTTGTACCGGTAAAACGGAGTTAAACTTGGAAGAAGAGAAGTTGAAGCAAGTCGCAAGTGAAAAGAAGTCGGCGGTGGGATGGGCACGAGAAATTGTTCCGTACACAAGGAGCGGATAGGAATTTTTATATTTTCGTAAACTATTTCAATGTGCTGATAAAAGTTGAGCGGGGAGAAAGAGAGGGGAGGGGAGAGTTCTAGGTCAGTA